TTGTTTTTTACTTTTTTGTTGTTGTTGTTTGTTTTTTTTGTTTTTGTTTTTTGTTTTTTAAAATGGTGTGTGCTGGATGTCTCTACAATTTTGTTCAAAGGACTACAGAACCTGGAAAAGCTGTTGCTGCTATTGATGCATAACATATTGCCATTATTGCTCTTCTTATATAAATATAAACATAAACATATACATATATATATAAGCTAAAAAAAAAAGCAGAGAATGCATTGCTTCAGTTTTCATCATCATGGGGGTTTTACTGCAGCCTATTAAAACCCTCCTGCTTAGATAAACTAAAGACTCACACTGCTGTAAGCTGGTTACAACATAACCGCCTCTCTCTCCTACCTGATGCACCAACAGCTCAGCCACTTCCACATGATTATTCAGGGCGGCCAGGTGCAAGGCAGTGTACCCATCATCTTTCTTCTCATCCACAATCCACGGCCTTGGTAACTTTGAGAGTAAAACACGCATTGCACTGCAAGGCAAATCCACATTGTCTTTACATTTGCATAATATGAATTTTATTTTCTTTAGAAAAATATTCAAAAGAAATCTTGTTATCAAGTGAACACATTCTTTAAAAATAAGTCATGTCCCTACAGACAGAAATTGCTCTTATAATTCTCAGTGTTTAGCATTTTGGTGTTTGAGAGCTAAACAAACAATCCCCATCTGCAGAATAGAGCCAGCAGAGAACATAAATGCTACAGAGGCAACTTTTCCTCACAAATATATTTTAAATGGACAACTCATGGAGTTGTGGCCCTGGGGTCACAAGGCTCAAAATGCAAATGTCTTTGATGGCAGTTTATGAATCCCACGGAGAAAGTTCAAAGAGTCTAAGAACAGGCTTGAAGGAGCAGGTGAGATGGTTCCTGATAATGAATGGGCCTGTGCTGAGCCTCAGTGCCTGTGCAGGCCCTGGGACTCACATGGAGGACTGAGAGGACCCACCCCATAAGCTGTGTTCTGGCCCCACGTGTGCATTGTGAAGTATCTATGCCCTTGTGAACACACGCATACATGTACACTGGAGCACACACACACAATAAATAAATAAATAACTGCTTTTGAAAAGTAAGCTATGGAGGATCAAAGACCCTCTAACCTTGAACTAATACCAAGTTTTTAGGTTTATATCAGATTTTTGTTTTTAGAGTGCTACTACTACTTTTGTAGGCAAGGCTTGTCTTGAACTTTAATCTCCCTGCCTCAGCCTCCCAAGTGCTGGGATTACACACATGAGCCACCATGCTCAGCTCCACTCAGATTAATGGGACGTCACTGGTGACAGACACACCGCACTACAAAACATCTGAATGTCATCATGACTGTGATATTGTACACTATACCATTCTGCACATCAGACCACATGAGAAAAAAAACTTACAAGAGGCTTATAGTTTTTATACACGTTTAGAAGATACATAAACCATGAGAAACTGTATTAAAAATAAAATGTTCCAGAGACGTAGTGATGGTTCAGCAGTGAAGAGCACTTATTGCTCTTGCAGAGGACCTGGTTTAGTCTCAGCACCACATGGTTGCTCACACCTGTCAGTCACTCCAATTCACCAGCCTTTTTCTGACCTCCTTCGGTACCAGTTACCAATGTGGCACATACACATTCATACAGGGAAACATTCATATGCATAAATAAATCTACAATAATCTTTAATTAGAAATAAAATGTGATTATTTAAAAGCTATGTGAGGGGCTGGAGAGATGGCTCAGTTATTCAAACACTTGTTTGGCCCTTGCACACACTGACAGAATAGAAAACTATTTGTGCAATTAAATTTCAAAAGAAATATGGCATTATTGAGACAAGAAAGCTCATTTTAAATAGCTAGAAATTATAGTACAAGGAAAGTATTTTTATTTTTATTTTAAAATTTATTTTATGTGTAAGAGTGTTTGCCTGAATGTATGCAATATGTACCACATGCCTGCCTGGTACCCAAAGGTCAGATAGAGGGCCTCAGATCCCCTAGAACCAAAGACAGTTGTAAACCTCCCTTCATGTTGGTGCTGGAAGTCAAACCAGAGTCCTCTGCAAAAGCAGTCATTGCTCTTAACCATTGAGTCATCTCTCTAGTACCCCTTTAAAAGGAAACGGTAATTTCTGCCTTCCTATAGAAACTGTAATATTGTCACATGAGAAGAATAAATCAACCAACAGTTTAAGTTATGCAATGCAGACAGCAATACAGAAAGACTTTTGGAGGATATCCAGACATCTAACTGGGTGTTAAGATTAAGCTATCAGAATGAAATTACAATAAGATTAAAAAATATGTCTCTATCTAGAAAATTAAGTATTAACTGCAACAATAAATGAAGAGAGGTTTCAGAACACATTGACTGTTGTTCCTGGGGCAGTGTCTGTAAGAGATCTCTGCCCTTCAAAAGCAAAATTATCATTTTTTTTAAAAAGAAGAATAAATGGCTTATGAGTCAGACATGGTGGATCACACTTCTGATGTCATACTTGGGAAACTGAGCTTGACCTCCCATGAGTTCAAGGCCATCCTATCTGTGACGATCCTTTGGAGGCAGTCTCACTGTGTACAGAGTGGCCTCCACAGGAGCCTCCTGCTTCATCCGCCTCCATGCTGGGACTATAAATGCTATGCCACCACACCCAACACAAATCTCTCTTTCCCCCTTCCTCCCTATAATACATTCCTCCTATATTCTCAATTTTCACTTTTTTTTCCCCATTAACCTACCATCCTAGTCCAAAACCTGGGAATTATTCTATATGAAAAACATTAAAATTGTTCTGCTCATTTTCCTAATTAAAACACCAACTACTGTGTCTGGTGGCCCAACATTCAGATTCTGTGGGTCAAATAATCCTTTCACAGGGGTCACCTAAGACCATCAGAAAATAGATATTTACATCAGGATTCATAACTGTAGCAAGATTACAGTTATGAAGTAGCAATGAAAATATTTTATGGCTGGGGTTTGTCACACCATGATGTTAATAGAGTCCCAGCATTAGGAGGCTGAGACCCACTGGGTTACATAATAGGTCATCCAAATCTTTCCTCTAGACACTTCCACAATATGGTCACAATATGGTCATCTCAACCCTTTATAACACACAAACATGAGCATTTCACAATTTTCACAGATTAAAAGAAGGACTTCCTAAAAATTAAATCTTTTTAAAAGAGTCTGAAGCTGGGTATGGTGTGGTATACCTTTAATCTCAGCACTTGGGAAGTAGAGACAAAAGGATCTGGAGTTTGAGGGCAGCCTCAACTACGCAGTGATTACCAGGCCAGCCTGGGCTATTTCAGAGCTGACTTTAAAACAATACATACATACATA